CCTTATTCTTCTATACTATTATCATGACTATGTTTATTATGGTTGTGCCTGGGGACTAGCCAAAATTGGGGCTACCCTGTGGTAGGCACTGTACAAACCCAGAGTAGTAGACCTGAGCAAATAATGGAATTTTCAGTTTGAGCACCCAATGAAAAACTCTGAAAAAAGAATCTGGTTCAAATTGAAATTTTTTGCTGAAACACATAAATTTGTTTTGAATCAACTAAAACATTTTGGGTTGATTTGAATGAAAATTTTGTTTTTAATTTATTTAGTGTCAATTAAAATATTTTGATTTACTCGAAATAATTTGTGTTTTGGTTTTGATTTGTCAGCATTTGGCTGTTTTACCATTTTTTGTTTTCTTTTTAATCTGGCTAAATTTGAAGTCAACGTCAACATTTTGAAATGTTCAAAACACAACATTTTGAAACAAAAAAGTCAAAACAAAACATTTTGAAATGGTTGAAATAAAATGTTTTGTCGTCTTTGAAATTTTGTTCCTGTTTTTTTCTGTATGGAAATTATTCATTGAATTGGGCCCAAATTTGCAGAGAGTTTTGGGGCATGGAAAGATGCATTTTTCAACCAAAAAAAATCTATTTGTTGAAAATTATTTGCCGTGCTCTAATAAACAGTCCCTGTCCCCAAAGGCCTGTAGTCTAAATCAGTCATTTTCAACCGCTGGTCCTCAGACCTTGGGGAGTCTGCAGACTATGCCTAAGATTTCCAAAGGGGTCTGGCACTTCAATGTGAAATTTTTTAGTGGTCCGCACATGAAAAAAGGTTGAAAACCACTGGTCTAAATAAAGGAGTTCTCAAATTTTTCATAGTGTGGACAGGATCTTTGCTGAGTGATTGCTTCATGGGCACCTCCTGTCCCACTTGTGATTCAGAAGCATCAGTCGTCATTGCAACCACCGTGATCACTTGGAAAAGTGATATAAGGGAAGTATTGATGTATTTTTAGCTTCTGTTAATGATATTTAACAGCTGGTAACAAAAAGGGGGAACCAGAACCTTGTGATCCACAGGTTCAGAGACCATAGTTTGGGAACACTGGTTCTGTACCCGTTAGCTAATAGAGTTGGCTTGACTATACCTGAAAAGGAACCAGAGCCGTGTGACTTTTAAGTTAGGTGATGTGTCGAACAGTAACAGGGAGTCTGTTGGAGAGCAGAATCAAAGAGTGCTACAAAGAAAAAAAATGTTTGAGGTGGAGTTACATACAAGTATACAAAGGAGGCACTTACTGAAGTATAGCTGCTTTTTGTACTTTGAGTACAACCTATTTATAGCTCCCCTAATATACTTACACTAGGAAGTGCTATTTATAGACATGAGTGAAAATAGGTAGGTTTGGGGTCAGAAGTTGATGTTTCAGACTTGGTTAAAAGTTCATTTTTCTGAAGGCTGTGGAATAGCTTGAACTGAAGTTTATGTCGGGATTCTGACCAAGGCCCTGATCCAGCAAAGCACCTAACCATGTGAGTACTCCCAGTGAAATCAATGAAACCTGCCATATGTTGGGATTAAGAAATCCTACATTGGAGTCAATAGATGAATGTAGATTATTCATGTTTAAGTGCTTTCACATTGCGGCTTGTAAAGTTTTCTGCAGTTAACACCTGATATTTTCCTTTAAAAAACATTTTGTTAGTTTCCTACTATATTTTTAGTTCTGGTTTGCTTTTTTTTAAGCTGTCAAAAGATTATTTTTTTTAAATGAATGGATTCCACTGTAATATTTACTGCGCTTCAGCTTTCAGCCCAGCATATGAAAATAGATCTCACTCGAGCTGATAGTGTCTAATGGGATTCATTGCTATTCCAAAGACTTTATGTACTGAAACTTCCAGCTGTGCTTGATTTGAACAGACTCGTCATCGCTTTACATTATTGTGATTTCAGTGCAAGGAGTGAAGGTGGATACAAGGTAGCATCTATCTTTCACTTATGAATAAAGAGGCCATAGTTAATTCCTGTAGGAACTGAAAATATAGCTATTATGGGTCTGATCCAATGCCCACTGACATTAAGGGGAATCTTCCCTTTGACTTCAGTGGGTTTTGGATCAGGCCTTATATGGATGACATATAAAAAGCGATTTAAAAAACAACCATGCAAACATGGAATTATTCCGTACTATAAAATAGCATAAGGCACAATAGATTTTGTCAAAGCAACAGTGGTGTATGTGTGAACTTTGACTTATTGTGATTTAGAAGCTGTCTTTGGGCTTTAAAAGAATTATTAGAAAATAATTAAGTCACTGCAGCCTACCACTGTGAGCTATGATATCATCAGCTCTTCCTTGGATGGAAGATCCATTATTATTGTAACTGATTCCCTTCAGGGTACTAGTATTCCCATTAGTCAGATGGGGAACCGAGGCACAAGAAAGTAAGACACTTGCCCAGGGTTACTCAGGGAGTCTGTGGTGAAGGAGCGAATTGAATATCGATCTCCTGAATCCTAGGCTAGTGCCCAAACCACCTTGGGCTAGTTGAAAATTTTCTGATGAAACTGTTTTGTGGCAGAAAATTTAATTTTGAATTGAAAACCAAACACCTGAAAATGAAAATTTAATTTTTCAGCTGAAACTAAAATATCTTGAATCAGACATGCTGCCACGATACCTCATAGGAGTTGTTGTTTGGAGCCCTTGGTCCTCATTATCCTCTGTGGACTGGGCTCCCCAACTGGTTTTCATCTGCCATCATGCACTGGGGCCACAGAACTCACATGGTATACCACCTCTTCTCCCCTGGGAGAATCATGGTGGATCATGGGAAATGTAGTCTGACCAAGGAGCCCAGTCTCTGGGAGAATGGGAGTGTGAGGCACCTGAACTACAACTCCAATGAGGCACTGCAACAGTATTTTACAAATATTTTGATTTTTAGTTTTTTGATGAAGATGAAATTTTCTGCAGGGAAAAGAGCCCTATTTTCCAACCAGCCACCTTTTCATCTGTTTAAGTATATACATTTTATTAATTTTGCAAAAGCAAAGGCCACAGAGGCACCAGCCATGCAATACGATCAATAAGTCCTGCAGGAGACAGTTATAATACAAAGAAATATTTGTGCAGATAAGTGGCTCATTGCACATCCCCATGGGCAAAGGGGAGCAAAGTGGATAGAGCTAGGGCAGTGAAAGCCGATGAGGGGAACTCACCTCTATGTCATGTTCCTACTTTCCCAGTAATCTTCAGAATCCTACTTTGTGCAGTTGGAAATAGCATGTTGGTGAGGAGTGGCCATCCACCTTGGAATGCTCCCTCTGGGACCCATATGGGTGAATACAGTATGGGTATGGGTACTAGCAATATTGACTTCTGCTCCATGCCTCTCATTAGGGGAGTGGGCACTGGGCTCCTCTGGGGTTCCCTGAACTATCCCCCTTCAAGAGAACATTCATCAGAAAGTCTGTGGTTCACCAGACAGAGTTTCCCGGAGTCCTCTGCCTTTCTTGTAGGTTTTATTGCTGAAAGGTACATTATGTCCCTGGGTAAACTGAAACTGATCAGTCAACATCCTTGCAAACAATGCACAAGTAAGATAAACATAACTGATGACATGTTAAATAAGGAATGTGTTCGTATCCTAGCAGAGATTATAAAGAGCTGACTGACGTGAGATTACTGAACCTGTTAATAGCTGATTATCTCCCTGAAAGGTGTTTAATAAAACATCCTATGTTTTCTTTCCAAATGCTTGTTGAAAAGACAAACCTATTTAACAAAACAAACCACAAATCCCTTAAAGTAGGAAGGCTTCCCAGCTGGCTGAGACTCCAGAATTGACGTGAACCAAAATGCCCTGCATTTTAAGCAGCCATGACCACTGGGGAATTTGATGGTGAAACTTCGATGTTAAGAAAGCCCTGAAGTATGTCAAACTTGGATAACCATCAGTGCCCTTAATGCATTGGCAGAACATGGACACTCCAGGATAGGGAATGACTGAGCAGTATGGAGTTTAAAGCGGCTATGAAAGGCTTGAGGTGTGAATGTCAGATTTAAAACAAAAACAATATCAGATGTCAAAAACTGAGCCAGGGTTGGGAAGAATGATGGATAATTTCTCTGGTTCTCACAGCATTTTTATTGATCTGTGGCTGTTTATAGCTGTAAAACAGTTATAAATTAGAGGAGTGCCATGAAAAGTAGTGGGGGGGGTGGGGTGGAAATTGCCAGGAGGTGGTTTAAAGGTATACATCATGATTTATCAGACAAGAAAGAAAATGAGTATTTAGGGCTTCATTTGGGAGATAAGAGTCTTCTATGAGAGAGATTCAACTTCCAAAGGCAGTTTTTTGGGCCAAACGTGTTATTGGCTGGAGACAAAAATCTCCTATTTAGATTGATGCGACTTCGTGTAATAGTGGAGAGATGTTGTGGTGATGTGGGTGACCTCATTAAAGGGTCATGCTTAGGTTATATGAATCTTCATGTAGCAGAGGAGTGTGCCTAGGTTCTCTTACCCTGCGACAAGGTCATGGTTTTATGACCCTGCTTGTATGAGGGACAAAACTTATCTGCTTACAAATGTGCTGACAGGCTTAATTCATTACTTTTTCTGAAAAGAACTTGAGTCTGTTGTATCCCAGGGTTGGTGTGATGATTATAATTCTAGAAACATAGGAATAGCCAAACTAGATCAGAACAGTCCACCCAGAACAGTCCATCCCATTTCACACACAGCTCAGAATCAGATGCTGCAGAGAGATTCAGAAAAACCTCAAATAAATATTTATGCAATAATTTGCCTAGGGACTTTTGGATTCCTAGTGGTTGTCTTATGCCTGAAAACTTGAGGGTCAAACCTCAAACCAGGAGATTTTTTTTATCTATATCTTTATATATCCTGGTTACTATTACTGGAACATTAACAAACATCTCATTGATATAATAAAGAGAGATGTATATTCCTTGCATGGAGAGGTTAATGCACCGTGATGCTATTTCACCCTTCTTCTTGTCTTCATTATTGCAGAAATCCGTGAAGCCTTTCGGGTGCTGGACAGGGATGGGAATGGCTTTATCTCCAAGCAGGAGCTGGGCATGGCTATGCGTTCTTTGGGATACATGCCTAGTGAGGTGGAATTGGCAATTATCATGCAGCGCCTTGATATGGATGGTAAGTCGTTATTATTCTTTGAATTATAGTAGTGCTGGGTGCTGCACAAATACATAGTGAGAGGAAGTCGCTGCCTCAAAGAACTTACCATCTAAATAGACATGACAGACGAAGGGCTGGAGGGGAAACAGAGGCACAGAAAGGTGGAGTGGCTGGTGCAAGGTCCCACATGAGTTCAATAGCAGAGACAGAAATAGAACGCAGGACTCCCGACTCCCTATCCTATGCCCTATCCGTTAGACCATACTGCCTCACCTTATAAAATTCCCCAGATGAAACCTTTACAAACAGATTTTCACTAGCAGATAGGACTGCCCTATAATTTCCAAGCAATGTCCAGGTGGAAGTGGCAAAATAGTGCCTTTCAAAGTATCCCTCTAAGCCATTTCCTCCTTAGTTTTGTTTTCAGATATGTATTGTGAATACGGTGCTAATGAAAGGTGTCAGCTGATAACCCAGGAAACTGAAGTCCTTTATTCATTCACAGAGCAGGTACAACAGTGGTGCAAGCTTCCCCACACTGTCCCTTCTATATGACTCTATTCTGACCACCTCTAGGAATGAGAGGGTAGCTCCGTTTCCATAACCCATTCAAATACTTGGCTTCTCTGCTGTGCCAACTAGAGGTAGTCCTGGTGGTGGTTTTGTGGATGCTTGTTCACTGAGAGTTAGACTGAAACCACTAAACATGTTTGATTCAGTCACTAAACAGATATCAGTTGTGAGGACTTTTTGGTTATTTCTGGGCTGCCTTTGAACCAGTGACCTTGCGTTGGAAGGCTTTGTAGCCTGTTATCTGTGTCTTGAATGCTCCACGCCTCTGAGCAATCCAGTCCTTTATAAGCCATGACGTAATTCTGCTGCATCATGCATAGCTTGCAAGTGAAAGGTGCTGTAGGTGGGGCTTTCTCATGCTGTGTCTGAAATGTGGAAGCTTTGGAAGTTTTGATGAACAAGGCTTTGAAAAGGATGGAACGAGGCCCTGTGGAGAGATCTCCTTCAAATAGTTACTAACATATAATAAAAGAAAAGGAACCCATTATTAAAGTGAATAGAGGAATAGGACATCAAGGCTTTTGGAACCATGGGGGGACTCTCTTAGCTGATGTACATCTGCAATCATACTAGCTCAGAATAAGGAGCCATCTTTAAAATGTCCTTAGAGTTACAGGTCAGAAAAGCATTTACCTTTCTGACAGCTAAAACGTGCATAGATGCTGGACTAATGAGCAGCTCTTCTCTCCTGTTTCTGCAAAGGCACATAACAGCGTTGAAAAATTATACAAAATGGTGCAAAGCCAAATGGAAAACATTATCGTGTATGCAGTACAAATACATTAATCATGTCAGGCTGCAGAAAATTTGGTGGGTTTTCGGTTTTAGTGTTTGTTTTTTATAGTAAAATCTTTCTGGTCATCTAAAGAAGTTTTTCAAATGAAGAGTTTTATAAATCTGCAAATGTTAAGTTGAGAGTGTTGATATTCTTCGTGGGCAACAGATGCACTATGGAGTGTAGCTAATAAAATGCTGCTTTTAAATAAAATTTGCTCCTTGTTACAAATGTGTGAGCGAAGTGCAAACTTCAGATGTTTCCTAGGTTTAGTTCATATGCTGCTTTGGTTTAGAAATTGGGCTTGGAATCTAATGGGCACAGAATTTCTCACATGATTTTTGGTACTTTCTGTTTCCAGTTAGGACAGATATACCATGATCACAGTCTCTCTCATTCTCTTGTGATTAAAGAGGGGGAAAACACCTCTATGGAATGTAAAAGAGCATGATAACCTTTCTATAGAATGTTCAAAGTATCCCATAGAATTCTATAGCAGGGATAGAAATCAATAGAAAATGGATTCCATACGGTGGATTTTAAAAATAGTGGAAAGTATCTCATTCTTTTGAAAAAAAATTCTATAAGTTTTAAGAGTAGTTTCTATAGAGCACTATTGTGTCCATCCTATTAAATTCTACTGGATTCTTCCATAAGGGTGATTTTGCTTTAGGTTTTACAAAATGATGTGGTACGGATTCGTACACTATTTTAGCTGAGCCCGAAGTTTTTAGTACAAAGAATGATTTGGATAATGACTCCAACTCCGGTCCATCTCCTGTTATTCTCTCATTCCTGATATCTGGAAGCTATGGAGATCTCTAGCATGCTGTCATTTCCACTTCTAGTATGGCTGGGGCCTGTAAGTGCAGAGGTGGTATGAAAAGGTAAAAGAGGGGAATAAATTAAATGAACTTCTGAGACCTTTGACAAAGTTTCAATGTGGGTTTTGCATAAAGCTTGGGAGGCGAGTCTTGTATCTGAGCCAATTCACCCATCCCGATCTAGCTTTTCTAGCTGTTTTGTTTATTATTAATTATTCATGTTTCTAAGGTGCCTATTTTCATAGTATTTTGACTGAAGGGTTTCTGGACTAGAAGACACATGCATGTGATGTAAAGAACATAAGAACGGCCCTACTGGGTCAGACCAAAGGTCCATCTAGCCCAATATCCTGTCTTCTGACCAATGCCAGGTGCCCCAGAGGAAATGAACACAACAGGTAATCATCAAGTGATCCATCCCCTGTTGCTCATTCCCAGCTTCTGGCAAACACAGGCCAGGGACACCATCCCTGCCCATGCTGGCTAATAGCCATTGATGAACCTATCCTTCATGAATTTATCTAGTTCTTTTTTGAAATCTGTTATAGTCTTGGCCTTCACAACATCCTCTGGCAAGGAGTTCCACAGGTTGACTGTGAGTTGTGTGAAAAAATGCTTCCTTTTATTTGTTTTAAACCTGCTGCCTATTAATTTCATTTGGTGATCCCTAGTTCTTGTGTAATGAGAAGTAGTAAACAACACTTCCTTATCTACTTTCTCTACACAATTCATGATTTTATAGACCTTAATCATATCTCCCCTTAGCCGTCTCTTTTCCAAGCTGAAAAGTCCAAGTCTTATTAATCTTTCCTCATATGGAAGCCATTCCATACCCCTAATCATTTTTGTTTCCCTTTTCTGAACCTTTTCTAATTCCAATATATCTTTTTTTGAGATGGGGCAACCACATCTGCACACAGTATTCAAGATGTGGGCGTACCATGGATTTATATAGAGACAACATGATATTTTCTGTCCTATTATCTATCCCTTGCTTAATTATTCCCAGGATTCTGTTTGCTTTTTTGACTGCCGCTGAACATTGAGTGGATATTTTCAGAGAACTATCCACAGTGACTCCAAGATCTCTTTCTTGAGTGGTAACAGCTAATTTAGACCCCATCATTTTATATGTACAGTTGGGATTATGCTTTCCAATGTGCGTAAAGGATAAGTGGACTCAGAGTTTAAAAAGACAAAAACAAAACAGAAAGATTAGCAGGGAAAATTCTTTAGGCAGTGCAGGAGCTGGGGGGGATATTATGAGAAGAATTTATTTAGGCTGCAAACTGAGCTAACACAATGCAGCTCAAGGTTTTCTTTTCTTTAATGGATTGCTCTTTTCCACAGCTTATCTTGAAACATGTAATGAGAACCTGAAACCGTATAACTCGCTTCCCTTTCTTTCTCTTGCTGTCTCAATGGGGATTGTTGGGTACTCTGGGCCTGATCCAAAGTCCAATGAAGTCAACGGAAATTGACTTCTCTGGGCTTCGACTCAGGCCCTGTACTTGCAGATATAGCTCTACCCAGCCACGTTTCTCTCTGTCGTATCTTCCTGATGAGGGATGCAGCACTTTGTCAGAATAAAGCCAGAAAACTGAAGCTCTTGGCAGTGCTTTGCCTACATTTATCTCAGTTGGGATGCCAGGTTGCATGATAAATCATTATGTACAGTGTGCAATCATAAGACCCCCACAGTACGTGAGCGCTACGGAAAAGACAATATACCCCCAAATGCACAGAGGGTTTATGACTGATAAAGATATAATGTGCACGTGGATATGTTAGCCAGATGTGTGCTTCCCCCCAGTAGGCTGATGACAAGGCCTGCTAATAGTAAGGTAATAAAATTGGCAGTGGTTTATGTGTAATCTGAACCAGTCTGTGCGGACCTAGTACAAACATAATGTTTTTATCGGACAATACCTTGGGAGTATCTTTGGATTGCAAGATGGCAGAGGAACTGTATCTGCCTTGCCTTAATTAGCTGACAAATTGATTATAATGACACAACCAGAATCAATCGGCCTTTCCATTCCTGTATGAACCCCATTTTGTAAGGGGGTTGAGAATGAGAACACAGCTATTAAAAATCTGTTTCAGGTTGAAAATGAATAGAAGCCTTAGCCCGGGAGCAAGTTTGTCTTACCCAGATTGGATGAATTTGTGTTTATAAAGAAGAGCCACCAGCATGAATAATGTGGACAGTTTTTGATGGCTTGGCACTCATCCTAAACTAAAATAACAGCAGCATGTTTCATCTACATAGTCGCCATTGTCCTGAAGGATCTCATAGTGCTTCACAGGTAGGGTGACCAGGTGTCCTGATATTATCATGACCATCCCAAAATTAGGGGCTTTGTCTTATATATGCAACTATACACCCCCCCCCCCTCCAAAAGGGAAGTGTCCTGATTTTTCACTCTTGCTATCTGGTCACCCTATTGACAGATTATACAGGAATCACTTCCTATCCCACTGAAAAGCAGCTACTTCTGGGGTTGTAACGTGGTAGTTGTTTAACAATGCGAAGCGTAAACACATAACAGGTTAGGACAGGTTAGGACAGAAATAAAGGAGAATTTTATATCCCATTCCCATTCCAAACTGGAATTTGACCAATACCTCAGTAAAAGTGCCATGCAGTCTTTAATGCCCATGAGTTTTCAGCAACACCATGTTTGCAGCAGCGCAGTGCCCCGTAACACCATGTTGGGGCATTAGTTCATTATTGAGATAAAGAAAAGAGACCCACCAAAAGAACTTGCATCACTGGACTGAATTTTTCTCTGGAGTTTTCCCATCCAAGTGCCGACCAATGCTGACTTTTCCAGCTTGTATGA